ATCAGCAAAAGGCCATGGTAACATCATTTCCTCATGAAAATGCCATTTTTATATTTAATGACTTTAGAGTTAAGTATTATAGGATAAGGTATTGGAAATCATTCAAATCTCCACTGGTGGATGGAGCCATTTAATCATTTGGATTACATCCAAACCATCATGAGTGACTGACCCTTTGAATTCATTCAGATTCTTTATCAGTTAGTGTTTAATGCTCGGATATATGGCTGGAAAAGGTTCTGGACATGTGACCCAAAACTGATTTCTTATTTGCCAACGTATTCGTTGGCCAGATGAAAAAAATGTTCAGTCAAGGTGTGAATAACTTTACATAAATTAATTGTTTAGTTTCAAAATCTTAAAATCTTGTTCACAAACAATATTTGTGGTGTGAAAGAAAGGCCTTTGAATGTGAATGTGAAAGGAGGGCTTTTTAATTCTATATGCTGTAATTGCCTTCCTTATATAAATATATATTTTATTGCAGTTAACTCTCTCAAGAGAGATTCATTTGAAAATAAAAACCAAACAAAACAAAAAAAAAGTTTGGGATTTTTTCCCCCATTTTGATTCAATAAATGCAAAGGTTTAAAGAACATTGCAGTTGATTGCATAATATTTCAGACGCAAACACACACCTGTCTATGCCACCGTGAGTTTACACTGAAATTCAACCACAACTGATTTGGTGACATTAAGCTCTAATTTAGTTGCATTCACAAAAAAATAATAAAAAATCGTATTACTACTGCAAAAGTACTTGAAAAATGTCTGTACCTCAGAACACAGTCACTGAAAATTCCTCCTTCTCTTTCATTTTTTATTTAAAAAAGTAAAATCACAAGGTATTTCAAGCAACCTGGAAAGAATATACACAATAATGATAAATCCTAAAAATACGCTTGAGATTTTGAGATATGTGTGAGATTACATTCAGACTTCTCAGGGAACAGGTGGATGATCTGTTCAGCAGTTGCAGCTACAGTCCAGCAGATAGCAGCGTGTCCATGTCTCACCGTGTGAATCAGGATAATAGTGAGCGAACACAGTCCATCCCACCACTCCATTCTAACTAGATCTTTTTTCCTTCAACGAAATTTGACTTCAACTTCAGAAATTTGATCCAATATAGGACTCCTTGTTGACATGCTGACCATTTGTGAAGTCAGACAAAAATCTGTACAGTTAATAATATTGATTTAACAATACAATGTAAAGTGTAATGTTCTATAATTAACTTAAAGGGGTCATATGGTGTTGCTAAAAAAGAACATTATTTTGTGTATGTGGTGTAATGAAATGTGTTTATGTGGTTTAAGGTTCAAAAAACACATTATTTTCCACATACTGTACATTATTGTTTCTCCTCTATGCCCCGCCTTTCTGAAACGCTCGATTTTTACAAAGCTCATCGGTCTGAAAAGCAAGCTGTGCTGTGATTGGCCAGCTATCCAGTGCGTTGTGATTGGCTGAATACCTCAAGCGTGTGACGGAAATGTTACGCTCCTCACATACTGTGATGCTTTGTGTGTGTGTGTCTGTATAATATATATATATATATATATGTATATATACACACCTTGCTATGTGTACTGTGTTAGGCTAACCAAGACTTGTCATTTGCACTTACATATTATTGCTCTTTTGTTAGTTTTGACTGCTTTTATTGTCCTCATTTGTAAGTTGCTTCGGATAAAAGCGTCTGCTAAATGACTAAATAAATAAATAATAACTTTTTACTTTGACAGTTGTTTAGGTCACCATCTATTGACTTTCATGGCTTTGTGAAAAGTGAATGAATTTCTGTGTAAATCTGATTTTATGTCAGATCTGTGTAAATCTGTGTTACAGCAAACATGGCGGAGTCCACGGTCTATAATCTACCTGTTAACTAACATGATCATTATAAAAGGATTTAAGACACATATTACATTTACCAGTGATGCCACTTTTCTGTATCTATAAGGATTACCGTATTTTCCCACCTGGGAAGTGTGACCCACCTGAATTGCATAAATATGCTGCGTTTTCAAATACATTTACTTATAACAGATATATCAAATGCATGACACATACCAAATTTAATCAGTTTCTAACACTTATGTAAGCACATTTCCAGTGGGGGAATAATCGTGCTAAATTGCTAATTTAGTACTAGAAAAGCACTTGCCATTATATCAAACACAGCTGTAAGCTATTTTGTCTTTGTATTTGTTTTTGAGTTACCACCGTATGCAACAAACTGGCATATTACAATATTGACTTTCAGATCTTATGTCTTGGAAGAGTACAAACGGTCTCATTAAGGGGTTGAGGAGACATGCAGAGTATAATGGAGGTGCACATGATTCACCAAAGTCACAGAAAACAGCTTGCGAGGTATAGAGAGGTTTCCAGGAAAATGGCAGTCCTTGAATTGCATTGGTGCCCTCAATGGAAAGCAATTTTCCATTACGTTAAAATCTGGATGCTTCTTTTTTAACTACAAAGAGACGTTTCCAGCATCCTTCCCGCCCTTGTAGATGCACACCACACATGTATATGTTCAGGCAGGCGACTTTGGGAAAGCAGGTGAAATTCAGCCTTTGGGATTGAGATTGAGAACAACATCCTCCTACCTGGTGCTGAGGAAAACAAACCTGAGGGAAGCTGTGCATCTAAGATGCGGTATTCCCACTCAAACCATATACAGTATCTCACGAGGTCTTTTGCTGTCAAGAGCAACATTCAACCGTATCTCAAGGGGCTGCACGATGGTGGAAAACTACAAAATAAATAGCCTAAATAAACTATTTTTGACTCTTATAGCATACAAAACCCTCCTGTCTACAAGTCGAAAGATTGCAATGGAAATATTATTGATGAATGTTTTCATTTTATCAGAGCCAATGTCATTAAGACATCAAAAATGTATATGATAATAATAATAATGTCTATTTGAAGTCTGCATTTACATCTGCAAGACATGTTTTAAAGTGTTTGCTCATCTGCAATACATCTATAGGACGGTTCCTATATCAGATGTCAAATAGATGTCTTTAAGATGTTTAGGATTTAGAATGCATGTAAAACTGACATCTTAGAGACGTCTATCAGATGTTTGTACACGGCAGATGCTTTCCAGATGAAGCGATCTTTAACAGACGGAACTGTGCTATCTGGGTCACCATTCACTGACTTTCATGTTTTTGTGAAAGCTGATGAATTTACGTGTAAATCTGACAGAGTCCACCTTACAGCGTACCCTGCTAAAAAAGCAGCTAAACCCAGCCTAAGCTGGTTATCTGCTCTTCAACCTGGTCATAGCTGGTCAGCAGGCTGGTTTTAGAGGGGTTTTGGCCACTTCTTTAGCTGGTCAGGCGGGGAGACCAGCTAAAACCAGCTACTTCCATCTTAAGCCAGCTAAGACCAGCCAACCAGCTTAGGCTGGTTTTAGCTAGTTATTATTATAATTTTTTTATCAGCAGGGTAAACAAACATGGCAGAATCTACATTCTATAATTTACCGATTAACTAACATTATCATTAAGTTTTTAAGACAAATATTACATTTACCAGTGATTATTTATTTGCATAAATACAAGGAACAAAATGTCACGTTTTCAAATACATTAAGGTAAAACAGATAAATCAGGATATTTTGAGGACATCAGTCAAATTTAATCAATTTCTAATACTAGGGGGCGCTACAACTTAAGAAAATCGTAATAGTGCAACTATATGGCCTAATTCTGATTACAATAGAAATGCAATAGAATTTATATATTTTTGCGATCCCCAAACAGCAGTCTACACTGAATTGAATAAGTCATGCTCAATTAATTTAGTCACTCATGTAGATCTTTTAATATCAATATTTATTGTCACTGAGAGATTCCTACACACATGCACATTAAAAAAAGTTAGTTGCATGAGAAAAATAACATTCAATCATAACCAAGAAAAGAAGTCATCTTTTGTATTACAGTGTGCAACACCACAGATTTACATTCTCACTCTAAACACATCTTCATTTCTCTTTTAATTAATGCCAAAACACTGTACATATAAAAACAAAACATTCAACAAAACGGCATAGGATATATGCAAAGAACATATCAGTTAATATGCATGCGATACATGTGTTACATGCCTCACTAACATAAGAGTCAGATTTCCCAGACTAATATCGACAGCTTCTCAGATCATCGGAAGAATTTTATAAATCACATCTTAACAGCTAATGCTACAACATACAGTACATTAAAAAAGAGAGAGTATTTGAAACATGGACCTAGTGTTGTAAAACAAATGATATTTTTGGCATCTCACAACAACAGAGCCAGATTTATTTTTTTTAAAGGAATGTTTAACATCTTTTGAACACAGAACCACAAGAACTACTTATAATTATTATCCAATTAGATTTAGTTCATCAGCAAAAGGCCATGGTAACATCATTTCCTCATGAAAATGCCATTTTCTTATTTACTTATTCTCATTTTTATATTTAATGACTTTAGAGTTAAGTATTATAGGATAAGGTATTGGAAATCATTCAAATCTCCATTGGTGGATGGAGCCATTTAATCATTTGGATTACATCCAAACCATCATGAGTGACTGACCCTTTGAATTCATTCAGATTCTTTATCAGTTAGTGTTTAATGCTCGGATATATGGCTGGAAAAGGTTCTGGACATGTGACCCAAAACTGATTTCTTATTTGCCAACGTATTCGTTGGCCAGATGAAAAAAATGTTCAGTCAAGGTGTGAATAACTTTACATAAATTAATTGTTTAGTTTCAAAATCTTAAAATCTTGTTCACAAACAATATTTGTGGTGTGAAAGAAAGGCATTTGAATGTGAATGTGAAAGGAGGGCTTTTTAATTCTATATGCTGTAATTGCCTTCCTTATATAAATATATATTTTATTGCAGTTAACTCTCTCAAGAGAGATTCATTTGAAAATAAAAACCAAACAAAACAAAAAAAAAGTTTGGGATTTTTTTCCCCATTTTGATTCAATAAATGCAAAGGTTTAAAGAACATTGCAGTTGATTGCATAATATTTCAGACGCAAACACACACCTGTCTATGCCACCGTGAGTTTACACTGAAATTCAACCACAACTGATTTGGTGACATTAAGCTCTAATTTAGTTGCATTCACAAAAAAATAATAAAAAATCGTATTACTACTGCAAAAGTACTTGAAAAATGTCTGTACCTCAGAACACAGTCACTGAAAATTCCTCCTTCTCTTTCATTTTTTATTTAAAAAAGTAAAATCACAAGGTATTTCAAGCAACCTGGAAAGAATATACACAATAATGATAAATCCTAAAAATACGCTTGAGATTTTGAGATATGTGTGAGATTACATTCAGACTTCTCAGGGAACAGGTGGATGATCTGTTCAGCAGTTGCAGCTACAGTCCAGCAGATAGCAGCGTGTCCATGTCTCACCGTGTGAATCAGGATAATAGTGAGCGAACACAGTCCATCCCACCACTCCATTCTAACTAGATCTTTTTTCCTTCAACGAAATTTGACTTCAACTTCAGAAATTTGATCCAATATAGGACTCCTTGTTGACATGCTGACCATTTGTGAAGTCAGACAAAAATCTGTACAGTTAATAATATTGATTTAACAATACAATGTAAAGTGTAATGTTCTATAATTAACTTAAAGGGGTCATATGGTGTTGCTAGAACAGCCGGCATTGTAGTCTACTCTCTCAGGATCAGGAAACAGTCCTCCATAAAATGTGCTGCACACGTCTGAATATTTGGGTTGAACTGTTCTGGAACAGTGTTGTAAATACAACTTAACCACTGATTTCTAGTCGTGTCCTCTTTTGGAAGACCAAACAAAGTAGTTTTGCTTTCGAAACGAAACACAGCGTCACACACGGTGGCCTAGCGTGAGCAGAGGCCGGGGGATAAAGTGAGGCACATCCGGCGGGCTTGAGAACGGTGCGGCTGGTGGATTCGACGAAGGAGCGTCCGGCTGGCTTGCAGCAAACACATGTGACGACCCCGGGCTGGACTCCGCTTCATCCACGGTGAAAGCCGATCCGGCGATCCACAGCACGAAGTTGTTGTACTTCCTCAGCGACCAGCACGGATCAGCTCCAGGCATGACGAAGCGGTAATCGTCCTCTTTTGGAAGACCAAACAAAGTAGTTTCGCTTTCACAACGAAGCACACAACGTCTTCAGGACATGGCGGCGGCAGCAACAGAAGGTTACGCCTTCTTTCTTTGCGTGAACATTTGGGCGGTGTTATGAAAATCTTCCCACACAGTGACGTAGACATGTGGGGGCGTGTTAGAACGAGCCGTTTTAGGTAGGCGTGGCTGACTCTTATCTTTTATAAAGAATATCTCTTTGGATTTGAGACTTTAGTCTTTGCAACTTTACAGATTTTCTTCAAGCACCAAGAGCTTGTAACACTCCAAAGAGAAAGGAAAAATTTAAATTGCATCATATGACCCCTTTAAAAAAAATAATTTTTTCTGAGAAATGTATTTATATAGTGATGCAGAATGTTGGTTTACCAGTTTAGAGGTGACAGTCAAATACACCCTGCTCAGCTGCCTCAACATCCTCTTCTGTGATGACTGAAGAACAAAGAACAAGCAGAAATAGGCAGAGAGAGTCTGGTAAACAGCTCATTTAAGCTCTGCAGTTGTGAGAGAGAATGTACCTGTGTTCTGCAGGTTTGACGGGGCATTGCTGGGCAGAGGAAAGCTGTAGGATCTGGACTGCAGTGACGGTGGTGTCTCATGACTGATACTCTTCGTTCTTTTACGGCATTCGACCGTCAGGCGTCCATGACATGCTTTATGACAGTTCACACCACAGACTGAGAGAGAGATGCAGCGTTAGTATTTAGGGTGGTGGACGAAGGTGAAAAGACAGTAAGCAAGCCCTTGTGAAAAAGAAGTGTGCTTAATTGTACTGAATATGCACTTGTAGAGTCCTTCAAATCTTTTAACTGTACTTGCAGATAATAATGAAATAAAAGGCCACTTAGTTAATGAGAGACACTTTTATGACGGTTTCACACTTAAGTAACTTTTAAAAAGTGCACTTTGTAGAAGTATATTTTAATCATTGCTTTAATCATCTTTTGTGATGCTTTAAAGAAGCACACTTATTTTGATGTGTTGACTAACATACTAAAGCACATGTAAAGTACTTGATTATCATTTTAACTTTAGTGTTATTTGATATTACATTTAAAGTTAATATATTTTAAGTGTTCTCACTTGCAACTTCATCATTGCAAATGTGTATTTGCGAATTTATTTAAATACATGATATACAAAGAAAACGAAATAACATTAAAGTATATTTTAGTTTATTGTAAATGTTTGTCAATACATTCAGCAGTACTTTAACCATACTTCAAAGACAATTTAAGTAATGATGAAAGTACGTATAAAGATGCTTAATTGTACTGAATATGCACTTGTGGAGTACTTCAAATCTTCAAAGTATATTTTAACTGTACTTGCAGATAATATAATAATAATGAAATAAAAGGCCTTTTAGTTAATGAGAGACACTTTTATGACTGTTTCACACTTAAGTACACATTTAAGTGTACTTTTTACACTTTGGGTCCTACTTAAGTGGGTCAAAGAACACTATAATTCAGCTAGTTACATTTAATTTAAAATATATTCATAAATGCATTTGACTTTCATTTAATTGTAGTTAAGAAAGGCTTTTTGCATACTCGACTGACACGCCGAGTGTCAAAAAACAATTTCTTTCTCAATCACAGGATTACACTTGTTCTCTGTCCTGGCCAGCCTTCCTTTTATTAAAAATGAACTGTGATTTATTGAGTATATTTTGCTCCCTGTATACTTTGCCAACCTCTTTTTGTCACAGAAATAATACCGCCGAGCCATGTAATGTAATTTATACTTCAAATATGGTTTAACTTTGAATCTGGCCCTGCATGCTTCAAGGGGAACAGGGGAGTTTATAAGGTTAAAAAGATGCAAAAGCACCATAAATGTATCATAAAAGCAGTTCATATTAGTTTGTGCTATAATTCAAGTCTTTTGATACCATGTAATGGCTTTGTGTCAACAGTTGACTAAACGTTTTTACTGAAAACCTTGACATCCACCCTAGCTCTCCTTGGCACATTCATTAGAGTTCATGAGAGAAGTAGCAATGTCTGTTTAGAGAGCAAATAATTATTTTGCATTGGATATTTTCAATGAATCATCTGATACACTTCACATAACTAGTCTGAATGATTCATTCACTAATCAGAATGATTCAGTTCTTGAGCTCAGCTCACTGATTCATTGATCTGATTGTAGCGATTCTTGAGTTAACAGCTTAAATTTCAGTCTGTTTCCCACCCAAAGCTATCATATGACTTCAGAAGTAATATGGGATGCTTTCATGATAATTCTACAGCCCTTTTGAATCCTTTATGAAGCTTGAAAGTTCCAGTCCCCATGCACTGCATTGAACTCTATGCACATCTATCATCTATCTATCATTTTCGCATTTAACCTCAGAGGCCACTGCGACGTCTGGTGCAGAGGAAATTGTAAGAAAATAAAGCACAAATTTACATCTTGAGGAAGTGTTACACAACAGGACAAAGCAATATTGATACAGTCCACCTTCACACTAAAGTTACTTACTTTAATCTATCAGGGATGGAAAGATCAGCAGAGAGGAGATGATAGATTACTTTATGAAGGCCAGTAATATGTCAATCAATCACTAAAATGCTATGGTTTGATATATACAAAAATCATATGTTTGCTATAGTTCATATATAGCATATTACAATTATGCCGATCACGCACACATACACATACAGCTCTCTCTTACCTTTGCATTTGTATCCTTGTTTATAAAATCCCCATATCTTAAAAAAAAAGAAGAAAATATGTTATTTTTGAGGAAAAAATACAGATGCTGAGAGGATGTGGAAAATAGTATGGAGAAGAGAAGAGAAGAGGGACTAAGATCAAGAGAGAGAAAGAGAATCACAGCAGGTAAACAACAGATGAAAGGGAGAGCACAAACATTACAAACACACAACATCAGACGCCACACACACACACACACACACACACACACACACAGGTAGATCTGAAAGCACCACATACACTCAACGGAAGGGACTGGGGTACAACAAATAATACACAGTTACACACCACACCATGCTATAAATACACCAACAGATCAAAGCTAAATCTGCGCAGGCTAGAACTAATTTCTAAAACTATCCATCTTAGAAAATACAAGATGCAATCATTTAAAAAAAAAAAAGAAGCTTTGAATCTATTTCTATATTATTGCATGATACTTACAAAGCCGGTGCAGTGTTCACAGAAGGTGGGTTTCACGTATGTGGTCTCAATAAAGGTGTGTATGAAGCCCATCTTACAGTTGAGCAAAGAGCTGGCCTTCATAAAGTAATCTATCATCTCCTCCCGGCTGATCTTTCCATCCCTGATAGATCATGAGAGAACACGAAATGAGAGAGAAAAACTCATTTTAACAGCCAACAACATCCAAAACGTTGCAAAGTGAGTTCATGTGCATCGTTTCATAAGTGAGGGATAAATCACACTTCCATGGAAAAGGTGCTTCATGTACATCACAAGGGAAGAGGCACAATATCTTACGACCTCTGCATATGAGTTATAGACTTAGTGGAATACGATATATACGATTTCTAAATTCTTAGCGTACACTTGCTGACTTTATAAATCGTTACAGAGAAAAATGGAACATCATGCACTAAACAACTGAGGATGACACTAGCAGACTTTTAAGTCATTCTGAACACAACAAACAAACATGCGTCTAGACGTGTGACTAATGAAAAAAATATGTTCTAAAATCAAATCAAAATACTGAACATGGTTGATTGATTTTCGCTGACTGGATGGAGCTAAAAAATGTTTTGTCTGTGCCCATCATACACTACGCAATTTTCTGTCAAATCTGTCAACCCCGACTGCTCAAAATCTGCAGACTGGCTCTGATATTTATCAAGTAGCATTGACTTGTCCAGATTGCAATTTGGGGCAAAAATCTGTGCAAAAGTTGTGTATTCCATCCTTTAGTTATGGCAGTAATAATAAATGTTTTGCCTTAACAGTTACTCATGTTGTGTTGTCAGATATATGCTATTTTTGGAGGCATTTTTAGAACCTTTGAACAGTTTAACCAGAATTGTACAAATCTGTAAAGATGACCAAGCTATTAGATCGATCTCCTGAACCCGCTGAATTTTTTCTTGAAAGATGGGTTACTGGACTGCAATTAGAGTGGGTTGTATGATGGGTTTTGTTGTGAGAGTTATCATAAATGCATAAAAGGGTGTCGGTTTTCTGCCAATGCAGGTATGTACAGTAACTGTGAAGTTAAACCTAATGAAATGCAAGGTTTGAAGTTTAACGTGGATTGAGATTTTTTTTTTGCAGTTTTGATTTATTCAGTGCTCTTATGGTCAATTAAATCAGGCTAACCAACATGTTTTTAAATAAAATGGTATTATTGGAATTATTTTAAATGTGTTGTTGTTGATTAGCAAGAGTTTAGTATAGCAGCAAAAGTAGAAAAAGTCTTTTAGTAGTTTGAATTTGGTTTATATATATATATATATATATTCTTTTTTTTCTTTGTGAAAACGTTTATATTATGGTGTGCACACGACAGTGCTCTTGTTCGGTATCGATACACTTACTGATTTTTATCAAGTTCTCCAAACTTGCTGAGATAAGGGAAGTTATTCCTGATACACTCGAACTCTTCGCGTGAGATGAACCCGTCGCCGTTTGTGTCGAAATTCTTGAACACAGACTGTGAAAAGTAAATAGAAAACGTTTCATGAACATGTATCACCAACAATACATCTTACATGGTGGGAGGAGTCGTAAATGAACACATTGAGCCTGTTAAATTATATGATATACAGTTACTGACAGTGTAAACTAATATACATATTCGACCCTGCACTAAGCCCCATTACTGACAAATCCTACATTGGCAACTAAAAACTAGAATTGACCTGGTTCCAAAATAGAACACTGGAGTTTCACTATGTGTTTTTTAAAGATGAGCTACTTGACACAGCATCTAAAAAAGCAGTGCTCAGGTCGTGAGATGCTGGAAAAACAGCGAGACTCAACATCATAGACAGAATACAAGAACATGCAAATGTTCAAAATCTACCTTTGAGAGACTGAATTTGATGAGTAATATAGAAATAAAGCAAAACATGATCCAAGGAGATCGTTTAGTCTGGCCTAATATGTCTTTTGAATTCTTTATCTGGAGGCTTTCTCAGCAAATATTGATATGTTAATTAACCTTGTTGATAAATTATTCAGTTTAGTCATGTAATTAATTTCCTTAATACCTGCACTTGACATCCCGTACTTGTAATTCTGATTAAATTAAGCTTAATTGACTTTAGTTTACTCTCCATCACACATTTCTTTGTCGAACAGGTAAACTCATTTGGACAATTGGTAATTGCATGGTTAATCAAGATGTAGCAGAGTTTGACTGAGTTTGCAGCAGTAAATAAGAGGGGCGGGGCTTAGTAAAGCCTCAACTGGAGTGATGTAATGGGGTTGACACAAAAGTGGGACAAAACAAATTCAAATGAAAAGAATGTTAGTTTCACTGGAGTTTCACTATGTGTTTTTTAAAGATGAGCTACTTGACACAGCATCTAAAAAAGCAGTGCTCAGGTCGTGAGATGCTGGAAAAACAGCGAGACTCAACATCATAGACAGAATACAAGAACATGCAAATGTTCAAAATCTACCTTTGAGAGACTGAATTTGATGAGTAATATAGAAATAAAGCAAAACATGTATTTAAAGCACTTTCTGTAATCTCTGATCCAAGGAGATCGTTTAGTCTGCCCTAATATGTCTTTTGAATTCTTTATCTGGAGGCTTTCTCAGCAAATATTGATATGTTAATTAACCTTGTTGATAAATTATTCAGTTTAATCATGTAATTAATTTCCTTAATACCTGCACTTGACATCCCGTACTTGTAATTCTGATTAAATTAAGCTTAATTGACTTTAGTTTACTCTCCATCACACATTTCTTTGTCGAACAGGTAAACTCATTTGGACAATTGGTAATTGCATGGTTAATCAAAATGTAGCAGAGTTTGACTGAGTTTGCAGCAGTAAATAAGAGGGGCGGGGCTTAGTAAAGCCTCAACTGGAGTGATGTAATGGGGTTGACACAAAAGTGGGACAAAACAAATTCAAATGAAAAGAATGTTAGTTTTTTTCTCTTACATCCACCATCTTCTCGATATGTTTGCTGATGATAGCAGGATCAGCTTTAGGCTTGACTGACGCTGCCCACTCGTCAATCATTGAGAGTTGTTTAGGAGCTGGACTGGAGGAAGGGGTTGAGTTCTGATCCACCAATCAAAAACAAAGTCACACGTGTGCAGGTATTGTTATTTGGCTTTATGTTTAAATCTAATCTTGTGAGTTTACTTGTTTTGCTGTAAATGATACCAGACATCTACATTTCACTTAATGCACTGTACTGATTGATTGCCAACATGAATAAATATATCAAATTAACCAAATATATAACTGACCGCTGGTTTTGCAGCTCTGGGTTCCCTCTGTAATGAGAGCTGATAAATCTCCTCTTCTGTGTGGTACTGATCCAGTGAAACCTATACATAAGGATTCAATGAGTTACAAATTATTAATATAACTTTTCAGGAAAAATGCATGCATTATTTCTTATATAGAGTTTTTGTGTGTTCATATAATTTTTTATTTATCCAAATGGCAAGTGCTTAAAGAGGTCAAAACTATGGAAGCCCGTTTCCACCACAGGATTATAAATAAATAAATAAATAAAAGGTAATTGCGACTTTTTATCTCACAATTCAGATTTTTCGTCTTGCAATTCTGGAGTTTATATGTCACAATTCATACTTTTTTCTCAGACCTTTGAGTTTTGTCTCAGAAGTGCGAGATATAAACTCACAATGTAATGTCGCAATTGCAACTTTATTTTCATGATTATGATTTTATAACTCGCAATTTGCGAATTTATATCATGCAATTCTGAAAAAAAGTCAGAATTGTGAGATAAAAAGTCACAATTACCTTTATTCAGTGGCAGAAACAAGCTTCCATTAAAAAACCGTAAGAGTCAAATGGGCTATGAAAGCAAAGTTTAGAGACTCATCACAAATGTTGTTACAGTATGCATTTGTGTCCCTGAATAGTTTCTGAAATGGTTAGATTTTGATCAGACATGAATTCTCATGGTATGTTCACCCCATGCAGCAATTACTGTAATTATTCAGGAGATTCTATGTCGAGTTGTTCACGTTTTGAGGACTAAAACATATTTAGTTCCTATGGCAATGCTATGGCAACGGTGAAATGTATCTATTTGCAGATTTAGAACAGCAAAACTCTGGCAAAATAGCAAAGAAAAAAAAAAGAGTTTTGAAAACACATTCCAGACTTTTCAAAATGTTGTTTTCCGTGTTGCATGCGAAGAGGTGGAACAGATTTAGGAATATGGTGATGTTATGAACACAACTTTGCACATGCATGGCAACAGTTGTTTTTAAATATTAAGCATGCAAAGAAATTTAACAACGATGGGTGAAAGCTGTATTCAAAATATACTGTAGAAAATGTCTTTCCTGTTCTATTTCTGTGCTGAAAGTGTGCTGAATGTGAGCTGTGAATTATCGGAGCCCAAAATTACCAGAGATTTTTTACAATAAACTATAAAAGCTCTGTTGCTCATGCAGCTCATGCAAGTTTAAGTCCAGTCTTCCACACGTCTTCAATTGATTGCTGCAGGGATTACATATTTTTTAAATGCAAAACTCAGAAACGAGTCCGGTTCCATCGTTCTGAAGTCAATGGGTTTTTGGTCAAATGCCTGAAATAAGGTCTGTGTTTAACACAAGCTCAAGACATTTTCACGTTTTATTTTACAACATGAAATACATTTATAATCGTGCTTTTGCAAACTCTTGGGAAAATGTACATTAAATAAGTTGTCGGAAGCGATGCTAACTTACAGGTTGGCCAACAAAAATACATTTTCACTGCCGTTTTTACAAATAGACACCCATTCAATCAGTCAGTTTTATCCTAATCACATGAAGACACTCTATTCCTCTTGAAATTGTTTACATAAAACACACGCACTCACTGTAAGTAGATTGAGTAAGTCTGTGTTGGCCTCGATGTTAGGAGGATTGCTCTGCACGAGAGCCAATTCCTGCAGGATGGCATAGAGTTGCTGAGTTTTAGTCAAGTTGACGCGGGTCTTCTGTGGGTCTGTCCAGTCCGCAAGAGCGACATGAACAGCTATCAAGTCCTTGAGGTTAACAGCCAGGATTGGGAATCGGAAACCGGTGCACTCAGCGAATCGGCGCCGGTACTGACTGTAGTTTCCACAAGACGTCAGCAGGTCCAACAAGCTGTTAAATATCTGAGAGAGATATTCAGATGAAGTGGTACTTGTCGGTAATAATGGTGTTGGGTCTGATGTATAGGTTATGTGCATTCTGACAGCTGTGTACCTTATTAGTTTCGTTGCTGATGTGTGCCTGTGTCTCCTTCAGCCTAGAGATGGAGCTGTTATTGAGACCCCCGACCACCGCCATCAGCGTGTTGAAATTCTGCAGCTGCAGTAGTTTCTATAGAGCGTGAATTATTGATAAAGAAAGAGAAGACGAAGTCGACAAAATCTTACGTTAAATTAAAATAATAAAAATAGTTCGCAAAGAACACACTCATGCTATTAAGAGGTTGCAAATTTATCAAACTCATTGAAGTAACAAATTCGTAGTATTTATTTTTAATGGTTATATGTATTGATTCCTTGGATTTTTTCTTATTTTTAATAATTCAGAACAAATATATACGTAAAACCTAAACAGTTACGAACAGTAAACCAACATTTAATATCCATGAAACCACAAAGCTGATTAAGTATGCATGTTAAATTACATTTAGTATCATTATTAATACAACTAACATTACTTTCCAAGTAAGTAATGTTAAGTAATATTTAACAGCTACATAAAATACTTATAGGATGAACTGTATGTCATTCACTATATAGGCAACAATTGATTTGATTAGTAACATTGAAGTGCAGAATCTTAAATAGGGTTGCAAAGAGTTTGAAAATTTATGATGCATTTCAGAAACATTCCAGACATTTTGGAAACTTTCCAGGATTTTTATAAACTTTCGGAAATTTTTGGAAAGCTTCCCGAAATGTACCGAAAAGTGTCTGCCCCCTTGCAACCCTAACCTTGACTTTTTCAAAATCTTATAACGTTTATTATTATTCTCAAGTTTAAGATAACAGATTTCAAATGTGACCCTACTGAACCCCACTATATGCGTGAATGTTGTACTTTGCACATCATTGTCATTATGATTTGTGTGGACTCTTTATTACCGAGTTGAGAAACTCCAACTGTGATCCGTTTGAAGCAGAATACCTGACATGTAAAGCTGACACTAACGTGTAAGTGGCAGTAATTTAAGGGTGCCTATATTAGTTAAGCAAAGCGCAAGACATCAGCCAGCGAAGAGAGGTTGTCAGCTAAATTAACTGGTAACACTTTAAAACTGAAAAATAAAGAAAACAAAAGTTCAAGATTTGAAAGAAGTCCGAAAAAGACAGAAAATAGCAGAAACATAAATTTGCCTATTATACCACCAGAGTATGGACTTCCTTAATTAATTTGTTACTTTATTATGGGTTTTTAGTTGTATTTTGTAGTTGTACACAATTTGGCACACAATTTCAAATGTCCCGTTGTATGAACTGACTTTTGTATATTAACAGTTAGGGCCCTATTTTAACGATCTAAGCGCATGGTCTAAAGCGCACGGCGCAGGTGCACTCAGGGCGTGTCCGAATCCACTTTTGCTAGTTTAACGACAGGAAAACAGTGGTCTAAATGAGTTGTCCCTATTCTCTTAATGAGTAATGGGTGTTTTTTGGGCGTAACATGCAATAAACCAATCAGAATCTCATCTCCCATCCCCTTTAAAAGCCAGTTGCGCTCGCGCCATGGCGGGGTCGCTATTTACATGGCGGAATGTATTTTTTCATTTTTCAAAATGTTTGTGTGCTGCTGCACGCCCCTGTGTGTGTAATAAGCAAAGTGTATGCGCGTTGTGCACCCACCTTTAGGCACATATTACTAACGCGCTCTTTAAATAACAAAGAAAACCAGGTTTTAGACCAGGTTTGAGTTGGTCTATGGCGCAATTTATTTTCAGTTCCAATGCGCCTGAACACACCTCTTTTTTAGACCAGCACGCCCATTGAAGCACAAATGGGCGCAAATGCATTTGCTATTTAAACAACGTGGCGCAGGACGGGAAAATGAGAACTGTGTCGGGCTAAAACTAGCAAAAACACTTGTATCGCCTTGCGCCGCATTGCGCCAGGTGCATGATAGGGCCCTTACAGTTGTTAGCTGAAACTTAAAATGGATTATCAAATCAGCACCTACAATGCAAAAGGTGGAGGATTTACTTTGAAACAGTCTATGGCGCAATTTATTTTCAGTTCCAATGCGCCTGAACACACCTCTTTTTTAGACCAGCACGCCCATTGAAGCACAAATGGGCGCAAATGCATTTGCTATTTAAACAACGTGGCGCAGGACGGGAAAATGAGAACTGCGTCGGGCTGAAACTAGCAAAAACACTTGCATCGCGCCTTGCGCCGCATTGCGCCGGGTGCATGATAGGGCCCTTACAGTTGCTAGCTGAAACTTAAAATGGATTATCAAATCAGCACCTACAATGCAAAAGGTGGAGGATTTACTTTGAAACCATTTTTAATCTGAAATTGCTAGTAAATGTAATGTGTGGACCAATCAGACACACAATTATTTGTTATATTCAACAAATAATCCCTAACACCCCTCACCCAACCAACAAGCCAACTATGAGGGTCAATGGAGCCTTCCCTCTGTTTCCATGGCAACCAAAGACAAATCATCTGATAACACTGGTTTTATTGCTCAAAGGAATGCAGGCAGAGCAACTCTCACTCCATTCCCCCATAGGAAAGACCCATAATGCCCATAAAAATGGACTAATCTCTAATTAATTCATAGACAAACACACATATCCTCAGGTCATTGTATATATAATTACTACTCTTTTATATTGTCTTTTGTACTGTATACTGTTTTAGGCATGCGTTATGATAGATCACTAGTCAGTATAACCTCACCTATACCATGTTTGGTCTCTATGAATTCGTATTCCGATGATCTAAATGAGAGTGTGTATTATATGTTGATACCTATGCAACATATTAGTGTTCTAAGAATCTTTAATAGTTTTGCATCAACACCCAATCCAGTTGCATATGGAAAATACCATGCTTGAAGACAAAGAGTCGTACAATTTCCCTCCAAAGGTACCATTCCTCATTGGCTCACTCAAATCCTGAGGGGGGTGGGACCCCTCCTTACACTTTAATGTTCACTGATCATAAGATCGGGGTTTTATTTTAGATCATGAGAAGATGAGGATGCTGAGGTAGACAGTCTGTGCCAGGCTGCAGCCTTGTCCATAGGATTTCAGCTGATGTCTCTCTAGCTCTTCGCTCTTCTCTCATCACCTTCTGGTTGTAAGTCCCGGCCAGCTCAGACGCGCCTCGACTACAGCTATGTCTTCACTCTTCACCCAGGAGAAAACTCTCCCAACCACCACCGAATCAGAATAACATTGGAGTTCATCACCCTTCAAACCCGGAAGAACGTAATCGCAATTCCAACACCACCAAACCTAAAAACCATCAAGACTTTCATCCGAGACAGCATCCGGACACTCGTTCAATGACCAAGGCAATGCAAGTATTGTACATTTAACCAAACGAAACAGAGGTTTAGAATAAGTGTTATAAAACGGCGCTGATGGTTTCGCTCGGGTGATTAACTGACTCATTTCCCATAGCTGCATTCTCTGGTTTCTCTAACGATTTCATTCATCCACTTAAACTCCCCCCATGTATGACTGATTGTATGTTTGTTTGTTTAGATTAGTTATGTGTTAGTGTTTAGTTAATAAAACTTTTGTGCACAAATTACATGAGTTTCTGGTTCTGTCATAGCTTGTGAATAACGTCCCTTTTACGATCCGATCTAGCTACATGCTCTAATGCATTAGTACTGTAAGAAAGTTATTTTCTGTGGCCATGAAAATATCCTTTCTTAGAGTTGATATGAAATGACACTGAATGCTCGCTGGACGAACAGATTAGATTGTAATATTAATTCTGCTACAGTTACTACTGGCAGCTGAAGTAAATAATTGTAATTAATTGTAATTATTTATATACATTTCCCATTTGTGACCCTGGACCACAAAACCAGTCATAAGGGTCAATTTTTCGAAATTGAGATGTATGCATCATCTGAAAGCTGAATACATAAGCTCTCCATTGATGTATGGTTTGTTAGGATCGAGACAATATTTGGCCGAGATCCAACTATGAATATCTGGAATCTGAGGGTGCAAGAAAATCAAAATATTAAAAAAATCGCCTTTAAAGTTGTCCAAATGAAGTTCTTAGCAATGCATATTACTAATCAAAAATTTAATTTTGATATATTTATGGTAGGAAATTTACAAAATATCTTCATGGAACATGATCTTTACTTAATATCCTAATGATTTTTGGCATAAAAGAAAAATCTGTATTTTTGGCTATTGCTACAAATATCCCCCAGCGACTTAAGACTGCTTTTGTGCTCCAGGGTCACATTTGAGCTAATTTGCTACATAAATTTCACGAATAATTTCAAAGAAACCACATTCAATTAAGTCTGACATTTTAAAGTAGAAAGACTGAAATACTATTTTCTTGTAAAACATACTCCAATAATCTTTATTTACAACCTTGTCAGCGTGTCAGATGGACGGATGGTTGTGTGCCTGACTAGCAGATGGGATTTGAGAGCATAAACCACTAAGTTTAGGGTCTTGACTTACAGTCTCTGTCACTTTGGTGCTTGAACCCCTAATAAAAATATAAATAAGTGCAAACATTTGGTGCTTGGCCCCTAAATATGCTTCTAGCCTGGTTTTAGGAGATGGATGGAGAGAGGAAAAGATTTGAAAGAAAAATACAACTCAACATGAAAAGGAATTGGGCAGGAAACCTTGTGAAAGAGAAGGGAAAGATCAGAAAGATATAAAGCGGTAGTCGAAGTGATATTTCGGAAGAGGAAGAGCTCAGGGGCCCATAAGAAGGAAGAGAACAAGGGATCATCAGGAGGAAGAAGAGCAGGGGGTGATGGAGCCCCACTGTGCTTCTAAAAAATTCAAAGAGAAGAAAAGTCACATGGGTCTAGCTGTTATTGTACTAAAGGTCTACACCAGAACTCTGTGCTTTGTAGGATTTTTTTCAAGCTAGATTTTTGTTGATTTGCACTCAGCAGCTGTTATATATGTGCTTATAACTACAATAACTATGTTGTTCTGTACTAGTGGTGTTAGTTACCAACCCTATAAATTATCATTTCAACCACACAAAGAATTCATAGACCAAGCACTGACAAGCCCAAATGCGCCACTGTATTCTGGAAATAAGCTCAAATTCTGATTAACAGTAGGGTCCCACTTTATATTAAAGGGATAGTTTACCCAAAAATGAAAATGTTGTCGTCATTTACTCAGCCTCATGTCGTTCCAAACCTGTATGAGTTTCTTTCTTCTGTTGAACATTAATGGAAAGGAGAGTTTCTTTCTTCTGTTGAACATTAATGGAAAGGAAAGTTAAGTTAAGTTAAGTTAAGTTAAGTTAAGTTAAGCTCAGTTAAGTTAAGTTAAGTTAAGTTAAGTTAAGTTAAGTTAAATAACTATGTTGTTCTGTACTAGTGGTGTTAGTTACCAACCCTATAAATTATCATTTCAACCACACAAAGAATTCATAGACCAAGCACTGACAAGCCCAAATGCGCCACTGTATTCTGGAAATAAGCTCAAATTCTGATTAACAGTAGGGTCCCACTTTATATTAAAGGGATAGTTTACCCAAAAATGAAAATTTTGTCGTCATTTACTCAGCCTCATGTCGTTCCAAACCTGTATGAGTTAAGTTAAGTTAAGTTAAGTTAAGTTAAGTTAAGTTAAGTTAAGTTAAGTTAAGTTAAGTTAAGTTAAGTTAAGTTAAGTTAAGCTCAGTTAAGTTAAGTTAAGTTAAGTTAAGTTAAGTTAAGTTAAGTTAAGTTAAGTTAAGTTAAGTTAAGTTAAGCTCAGTTAAGTTAAGTTAAGTTCAGTTATGTTCCTGTGGCTCAGTGGTAGTGCAGTGCGTTAGCAGCGCAAACGGTTGTGGGTTCGATTCTCAGGGAACACACATACTGGTAAAAAAAATGTATAGCCTGAATGCACTGTAAGTCCCTTCGGATAAAAGCATCTGCTAAATGCATAAATTATTAACTGTTTGGTTCTTCAAAATATCTTATTTTGTGTCCAACAGAAGAAAGAAACTCATGCAGGTTTGGAAAGACATGAGAGTAAATGATATTTTTTATGTACTTACATTAAAATCAATAATGTAATATTACACATACATGTTTTACATTGTATACTGAAGAAAAATTGGTGTAGGAACAAGTTTCCCTCAGAAATTGCTAGTAAAGTTCACAAAGAATTACAAAGAAACAGCGACACATTGAATTAAACATGAAATTTTGAAGACTGAAATAGTATTTTCTTGTAAAATGTACTATGATCATCTTTTTTTTTTTTTACAACTTTTTACACTGTACGTACATTTATAAACACTCACATATATAACTACATCTGCAATTAATTTCTGTAATTACTTCTATAATTACACTGTTGACCTTACACCTTAACCCATCCTTAAACCTACTCATACCATGAAACCTGTCCCTAACCGTGCCCATGTCGCATCTCAATAGTGGCAAAAGTGTTTTGCAAAACAGTAAGTACATTGTACCCAACATTTTTTCGACAGAAGCACATAGATGCCTAATATAAAGTAGGACTAAGTTTTTTTTCCTGACCTGTGCGACCCGTATGAAGTGTGCGATCACAGCAGCTCTCTGCGGTGCGGTGGGTTTACTCAGAACCATCAGCTGAATCCACTGCGAGACGCTGTTAAAGAGCGTAATAAACCTCTCCAGGATGGGGTTATCTACCGTACAGCCGTGCATCACAAAGCTGTGGTAATCCTGAAACTAAAAACACACATTAAACAGATGGTCACCGATCACAAGAGAGGAATAACTCCATAATGACTTCATCACAGATTACAAAAACATGTTCTAAGAATGTTTCGCTAGCGTTCCGAATTTTCTGAATGTTCTTTTAAAAAAGTCCAGGTTTTTTGAACCCTCTTAGAAAAAAATGGTTCTTTTAAAAATTGATCACTGAAATGTTCTTTGGTGGTTCTATGACATTGCTGTGAAAACGCCCTTTTGGAGCCTTTATTTTTAAGAGTATACAGCAGAAGGCAAGATCATTTTTTCAAGGACTGATTTTTTGTGCTTAACAGTTGCAGTTACCACCCATGATCGTGTGGAAAAGAGCAGCCTGGGCATCTCCTTTTATGGTCCATGAAATTTAAAAAACATACGTGTTTTGAACAGCAGTGCGAGATGACAGATTTTTCATTTTTTTGGTAAACCGCTTAACCTTTTCAGACTGAGAACATGACATGAGTGTGTAGGTGTGTGTCTGTGTACTTACACACTCTCTACATCAATAAGTTGACTCTGTGTTTCATTGCCGCCAGTGTTCAAGTTCTCTCTCAGGTCTTTAATCTGGTCAGCCAAAGCAGGATTCAGATCAAACTCTACCGGATATTCGGAAATCCAGAACCTACATGGAAAAAAAGTCAGAAGAGCTAATGCAATGCAAAAGAGCAGATACGACATACCATGGAGAATAGCAATGAGATACAGGATTAGTCTTACTTTACGAGGTGGCATATTTGGGCTCTGATCTCATCAGTGCTGCTTTCCTGTGACCTGTATATTTGTTAAGGGTGTAAAGTTTTCATTTTACTACTTAACTCTATACCATGACATTATCCTTTCATTTTAATTTAAAGGGGTCATATGATGCAATTTCAAGTTTTCCTTTCTCTTTGGAAAGTTACAAGCTGTTCGTGAATAGATAAGATCCCTAAAGTTGCAAAGACTAAAGTCTCGAACCCAAAGAGATATTCTTTATAAAAGTTAAGACTCGTCCACGCCCCCCTAAAACGCCTCGTTTAAACACGCCCCCACATATCTACGTCACTGTGTGGGAAGATTTGCATAACACCGCCCAAATGTTCACGCAAAGAAAGAAGGCGTAACTTTTATTCTCGCTGTAGTATTTTTGTTGCCGCCGCCATGTCGTGAAGGCGCTGTGTGTTTCGTTGTGAAAGCGAAACTACTTTGTTTGGTCTTCCAAAAGAGGACACGACTAGAAATCAGTGGTTAAGTTGTATTTACAACACTGTTCCAGAACAATAATACTAAATAAACAAAAAATTATGTGTTTTTTTAACCTTAAACCGCATAAACACATTGCATTACACTAAATACACTAAATGATGTTCTTTTTAGCAACGCTATATGACCCCTTTAACACCAGCAATGAAAGAGAACATGTAACCCAAAGATAAAACTCTAAAAAAAATGACCTTTTTGGAATTTTATGGAAAGTTATCAACATCATAGTCCAGATTCTATAGATTTGCATTAAACATAATTTTATTTAGCTTTGCATATTTAACTTTGCAATAGGAATTACAACTTCACAACCAATTCAATTTAGCACTTTATGGCAAGATCTAAGAGTCAGTTCCTGTAAATGCAACATGGGTTGTAACTTCATCCAATGACGTTGAAATATATTGGTCAGGTACGATTGTATGAAAACTACAACATGAGGGTTTTTGTAGATAAAGGATACTTTAGCAGCAGTTTCTTGGACAGATCAGTGGAGGATATGTACCAAGGATGCATCATCAGAAACATTTTCACAAAGGATGCATCTTTTATTGTGCCTTCACTGTCTGAAAACACAAAAATCACAGAACGTTAATGAAGAATAAACAATAACACTTTAGATTAGGGAACACATATTCACTATTAATTAAGAGTTTTTGCTGCATATTGATAGTAAGTAATGCATTTGCTTGTAGTAGTTATATTTAGATATTGGTAGGGTTAATATGGTCATGCATTAATATGTGCTTTATAAGTACTAGCAAACAGCCAATGTGCTAGTAATATGCATGCTAATAAACAACTATGTAATAGTGAATAATGTTCCTAATCTAAAATGTTACCAAATAAACCTACACATTTTTTGTCGTGACTTCCTTGACCAACTTTACCAGCTAAGCTTTGTTCATAGAAAGCATGCTTATTGTTTGCTGACTCACCATTTCTGTAGATGCGCAGCAGAAACTTCTGCTTCTCAACTGCTCTAATTCATCAGACTAAATGTTCCAGCCAAACTTCTTCATCTACTGTGTAGGACTGTTTCTTTATTGACTCACCAAAGGATTGTATGCAGAAGTCCACCAGCTCGTCCACTGTTCCTGAATCCATAGGTAACGGATCCATCATATCTCTCTTTTTCTTCCTCTATCTTAGCTTTCTAACAGCCTTCTGTCTTTCTCTTCTCCTCCAGTGATCTTCCTCTTCTCTCTTGTCTGTCAATAGAGATTGTTACTGTAAGGAGAAGATCACATTGAACAGCCTTGTGAAAAAGAAGTGCGCTTAATTGTATTGAATGTGCACTTGTAGTGTACTTCAAATCTTAAAGGTACATAACAAATTATTAAGTATAAGTATTTAGTATTTGCAGTTAATTTAATATTAATGAAATAAAAGGCCTTCAAGAGAGTACTTGCGCAACTGTTTCTTAACACACTTAAGTAGACTTTTATAAAAGTGCATTTTATGGTGTACTTCAAATTTATATATTTAACAAAACTGTACTTGCAGATTAAATTAATATTAAATATTAAAATAATACTAAATAAATAAAAGGCCACTTAAGTGCACTTAAGAAACATAGACATCTCAAACTCATGTAGACGTTTAAAAAGTGCACTTGGGAATAATGGCATTACATTTAAAGTAAATGTTTTAAATGTACTAAATTTCAGCCTTAGACGTGTAATTACAAATATATTTAAACACATGACACATAAGTTTCAATAGAAATGACATTAAAGTATATTTTAGTTTATCATAAATGTTTGTCAGTACATTCAGCAGTAATACTTTAAATTTCAACTACAACAGACTTATGAAATCACATACAAATATGTACTTGTGTCCTACTTAAGTGGATCAAAAAAGACTAAAGTTCAGCTAACTTCTTTCATTCAATTGCAATTAACATGCAATTAAGTGTCAAAAACATTACATTCAGTTTGCACTTAAGTATATTCTTTTCAAATATGAGTGCTCTTTTTAAAATATGCTAAAGTGTACTTCTAATTCTTTAATTCGCAAGGGCATGCTTCACAGTTTAATGTTTTCTGCCTCACACGTGACACAGAAAGCCATTTTGGTTTTGGAGCAACTCTAACAGCAGGTATTATAGAATATTTAGTACAACTTAACTGGTTTAAAATATTTTATTCAAATTTTCATTGATACAAAATAAAAAAAAATAGCTTCTGATGTTGCAGATCAATGTGTTGTTTGTTGGCTTGCTTGTGTTTGTGTGTCTTTAAAAGGCTCTAACGTTTGGTCTGTGACCAAACCACCCGCTGATGACACTATTTCTGAGATATTAGTGGCCGAATGACAGACGTACCAAATGTCCAAACTCATTTAACATAATGAACACACACAGAAATATCCCAATGAGTTTCAGACTGCCAATGAACTGACATCTTCAGAAAACAGAAAACCTCAAGTTATCACATCCTGAAGCAGAAATGGTCATACATGCACCAAACCAAAGTCTATCCTTCACACAACACACACAGACTTATCTCTCACTGTGCTTTCCTGTATTGATAGAACAGACACACACACACACACACACACATGCTCATGCAGTCTTAGCAAGGTGGCCAAGAGGAAACCATGGCAACACACTCTGATCCCATTGTGATCAACCTCTCCATATGGAAACACAAATTATATTCCACTACAAAGAATTCCACATGAACGAAATGCACAAAACAATACGGATTATAGAGAGAAAAATATAAAATATGACACCCAACCAGCCATTTCACTGTCCTCTGTCTGGCTAATAATTTAGGCTCAGTTCTTTGTTTGTCAGAAACCACTGAAAATACAAAGACAATCCTGTAGACAGTGGTGGATCCTTAAATAAGGCATCTTGGGTAAAGATGCATGGCGACACACACACACACACACAAGCCTCCATTAAGCTACATGAAGCGTGTTTTATATAGGATCTCATTGTATGGTGGAATGTGTGCGTGCATGTGTGTTGCTGCAGAGAGGTGGGCGGACACTTTCAATTATAGCTCGCATAGAGAGAGAGAGAAGAGAATAATAGATTTAATAGAAGAGCCACAGTAAGACTCCCTCCGACTCAAACTAACAGCAGTTCTGACACAAGGCCTGAATCGTGATCAACCTGCTGTCAACAAATCCTGAGAAACCCTGCAAAAACGTCCCTTTGACTCCTGTTCTGTATGGACTAGGGATGCAAATTTTGGCAAATTCCTCTAACTGCTCACAGGCTATTATTAACTGACTAGCCGTTAACCAACAGGCCTTAAATCAAACACGTGACCCAACAGACAAGACACAGGCTAAGGCAAAGGTCAACATGAGACTGCCAAGTAACTCACCCTTGATCTGAACAAAATCAACTATAGTTATAGATAAAATTACAAATATTATGGATTTTGTCAATTTTGTAGTCATCCCATCCTAGAACAGAAACAATCACACGAGCACCAAATCACAGTCTATCCTTCATCCTTCAAGTATAGCTCACCCTTAATCTGAAAAAGGATGTTTTACATGTATCTTGCTTTGTTTGCTATTGAATTAACTGATGTGTTAACCTAAAGTGAAAGAAGATCATACCGTTGCATTCTGGTGAAATGTTCTCATAACATATTGCAATAATAAGTGATCTCATGAGAAAACTTAATTTTACAAGGTGGTGACTTTGTAGGAATTCATTCAATGTGATATGTACAAAAAGGTACGAGTTTTGGAAAAGACATAAGCATGAAGATCCACCCCTAAATATAACCATCAATGGGACATAAGCAGATTGGGTAACACTTTATTTTAAGGTGTCTTTGTTACAAGTTACATGCACTTACTATTATAATAACAATTAATTATGCATAATTACATGCAAGCAACCCTACGCCAAACCATAATCCTAAGCCTAACCATATAGTAAGTACATGTAGTTAATTAATATTACTCAGTACTTAAATGGATTGCCATTAACATGCAATTAAGTGTCCAAAAACATAACATTCAGTTTGAATTAAGTATATTCTTTTCAAGTATAATGAGTAGGCTACTGTTTTAAAAAGTATGCTAAAGTGTACTTATAATTCTCTAACTCGCAAGAGCTTATTTCACAATTTAACGTTTTATGCCTCAGAAAGCCATTTTTGGTGTTAGAGCAACTCTAACAGCAGGTTTTATAGAATATCTGGTGCAACTTAATTGGTATAAAATATTTTATTCATATTTTCCTCAGTATGAAATAAAAAGAGCTGCAGAACAGTGTGTTATTTGTAAAAGGATCTGCTGTTTGGTCTTTGACCAAACCACCCGCTGAAGACGGCATCATGACTCTACATTCTGAGACCGTAATGACTGAATGACAGACGTAGCAAATGTCCCAACTGAGAAACTCATTTAACGTAACACACATGCACAGAAATATCATGAGAGACTGCCAAGCAACTGACCTCTTCACAAACAGAAAACCTCAAGTTATCACATCCTGAAGCAGAAATGGTCATACATGCACCAAACCAAAGTCTATCCTTCACACAACACACACAGACTTATCTCTCACTGTGCTTTCCTGTATTGATAGAACAGACACACACACACACACACACACATGCTCATGCAGTCTTAGCAAGGTGGCCAAGAGGAAACCATGGCAACACACTCTGATCCCATTGTGATCAACCTCTCCATATGGAAACACAAATTATATTCCACTACAAAGAATTCCACATGAACGAAATGCACAAAACAATACGGATTATAGAGAGAAAAATATAAAATATGACACCCAACCAGCCATTTCACTGTCCTCTGTCTGGCTAATAATTTAGGCTCAGTTCTTTGTTTGTCAGAAACCACTGAAAATACAAAGACAATCCTGTAGACAGTGGTGGATCCTTAAATAAGGCATCTTGGGTAAAGATGCATGGCGACACACACACACACACACACACAAGCCTCCATTAAGCTACATGAAGCGTGTTTTATATAGGATCTCATTGTATGGTGGAATGTGTGCGTGCATGTGTGTTGCTGCAGAGAGGTGGGCGGACACTTTCAATTATAGCTCGCATAGAGAGAGAGAGAAGAGAATAATAGATTTAATAGAAGAGCCACAGTAAGACTCCCTCCGACTCAAACTAACAGCAGTTCTGACACAAGGCCTGAATCGTGATCAACCTGCTGTCAACAAATCCTGAGAAACCCTGCAAAAACGTCCCTTTGACTCCTGTTCTGTATGGACTAGGATGCAAATTTTGGCAAATTCCTCTAACTGCTCACAGGCTATTATTAACTGACTAGCCGTTAACCAACAGGCCTTAAATCAAACACATGACCCAACAGACAAGACACAGGCTAAGGCAAAGGTCAACATGAGACTGCCAAATCACTGTAACTCACCCTTGATCTGAACAAAATCAACTATAGTTATAGATAAAATTACAAATATTATGGATTTTGTCAATTTTGTAGTCATCCCATCCTAGAACAGAAACAATCACACGAGCACCAAATCACAGTCTATCCTTCATCCTTCAAGTGTAGCTCACCCTTAATCTGAAAAAGGATGTTTTACATGTATCTTGCTTTGTTTGCTATTGAATTAACTGATGTGTTAACCTAAAGTGAAAGAAGATCATACCGTTGCATTCTGGTGAAATGTTCTCATAACATATTGCAATAATAAGTGATCTCATGAGAAAACTTAATTTTACAAGGTGGTGACTTTGTAGGAATTCATTCAATGTGATATGTACAAAAAGGTACGAGTTTTGGAAAAGACATAAGCATGAAGATCCACCCCTAAATATAACCATCAATGGGACATAAGCAGATTGGGTAACACTTTATTTTAAGGTGTCTTTGTTACAAGTTACATGCACTTACTATTATAATAACAATTAATTATGCATAATTACATGCAAGCAACCCTACGCCAAACCATAATCCTAAGCCTAACCATATAGTAAGTACATGTAGTTAATTAATATTACTCAGTACTTAAATGGATAATGGTAACCACAGATTGCATGACAATGTATGATGAGCCACCAGTTCACAGTAAAATTGTTATATAAGAGTGTTGTGTCAGTTTGCTAAAACTTTTGAAAATAGTATCAAAGCGAATAACAAAACAAAACTATATAGTGAACACACTTCAGGTGTCAGATAACCTTTAATCTGTACATTACACCATCCTTTTTAATAAAGAATTTCTTTATAACGATTTCTCAGCA